GATACTGTAGTCTCTTCTGGATGACCATTTACATGTGTTTTCGTAGCGTGTTCTTGTTCGGGGCTCTATGACGGGTCATCTTCTTGATTCTTCGGGCCTACTTTCGGCGCCCATCGATCCGGTAGCTCCCCTCTTTCCCCGTTGCCACGTCACGCAACTGTATTCTTCAATCAATTTTTTGTTTTGCATTCATCGAGTGGGTCGATTGCCAATTACACACTAATTATTAGAGAGATTTCAGGATTGTCAATAAAGGGACCCCGATATTGCAGCAATCGCGCTGGCCTTCACCACAAATGAAAAAGGTCTGACGGACCTGCACACACACACACACACACACACACACACACACACACACACACACACACACGGGCACACAACCATTGACAGACAAGCACTGCACCTGCTTGCAGAGGACAATGTCGACGGATGCGAGCATGGTGCCGTAATAATCGCGCATCAAATTCATAATTGTGTTGTTGATGACAAGGGCGAGATGGGATTGTGGAGGGCGGGGGAATGGCAAGTTGAGTGTCTGCTGTCACATCATCGCATGCTCGAAGATCATCATCATCATCAACACCTGTTGCCACGCCGTCCACGTCCAGGATGAGGGGCGCGTTTCCAAATGCCGTCATGGGCGCGGACTGACGTGGAGGTGTGAGGGGGGGGGGGAGGATGGAGGTAGCGTTGGTAAGGAGGGAGAGTATGCTTACACCGACACAGGTAGACAGACAGCCAGACACACACACACACACATGCGCGTGCGTCACCTGGCATGTGGTGCACGGCTGCAGCGCGGACTTGAGGCGGAGGAGCGCGGACGGGTTCTGCACATGTGTTCACACGCACGCACACGCGCAGCAATGTGGCGATGGCGGCGTTAGTGGAGCTGTGATTGTAGAAAAACACGTGCAGGTGTCCGCACACACACACACATACATACACACACACAGACACACACAGACACACAGACACACAGACAGACACACACACACACACAGACACACAAACACACACGCCCTCACATGCATGCATGCACACATCGCCCGCACCAACCTGCTTCGTGATGTAGTTGATTGCATCATCTGAGGGCGTGGCATCGGTGGAAATCGGGACCGGTGACGGCGGCGGCGTGGGCGCACAGCTATCGAACACACACGCGCAGCACATCACAGGGAGGCAGATGGGGTGATGTGGGGATGAGGTTAACGCAAGCAGTTGCTGAGGCAGACATTCAACGACACGAGAAGGTTCATCAATGCAACACAGCGCACCACTGCACATTCCTCCAATACACATGGTGTTTCACAGCCCCTTCCAACCACGACACCAATCGCCATGAGCACCGTCATCAACATCACCACTGGCGTACAAGGTGTTGCTGTGGAGGGAGCAGGACCCGAGCGCCACTTGTCCGTCGGGGCAGTCGTCATCACGCAGACACGGAAGGCACATGGTGTCGTTGTACGACGTGCAGTTGGCTGTAGCGGGTTTGCATGGGGGATTGAGGAGGGGCGTGGGGGGGGGGGTGGAAGGGGTGTGAGCGTGGGACGAGGGAAGACGCATGGTTGAACACGATGCAAGAGAAGCAAAGCAAAAGATAAACAGACAAGCAACCAAGCCAACACATACACACAACATAACACAAGCAATTTCGCCAGCACGCAAAGCCCATTCGGCACACACACACATACACACACACACACACACACACACACACACACACACACACACACACACACACACACACACACACACACACGCACACACGCCTCCCGTGTGCACCGCACCTGCAATGTAGTGGTCTGGCGGACACGAGGTGGTGCACATGCGGCAGACGGTGTTGCTGTGACCCCCGCATGAACCATCAAGAAACTCGTCGGCGCCACACGCGTCCACCGTCGTGCACGGCGTACAGGCGGCGTCAACGGAGGCAGAGCAAGGAACTGAGGGGAGCGGGAAAGAAGGGGAGTGGGTATAATGAGTACGTGTATAAGGGTGTGCTTGTGTGTGTGTGTGTGTGTGTGTGTGCGTCAGGGAACGTGGTAACACATAACCACCAGCACATCCATCAGCACATCCATCAGCAACTATTCTCATCCTCACCTCCGATGTATTGCCCCTGTGGACATGTGTCTGTGCAGTCCGTGCAGTTGCGGTCGCTCGTCGCTGTTGGCGCCACCGTCTGACATTGATGATGATGATGATGATGATGATTGATGGTGGTGATTGATGATGATGATGGTGGTGGTGGTGGTGGAGACATGTGGTGGTGAACGGTGGCGAGGAACAACAGAGCACACACATAAACACACACACACACACACACACACACCTCATACTGCGCGTCTGTGCAAGTTGTGATGTTGAAGCACTGCCGGTCGGATGTGGGAGTGCACGTTGCGGCCTCATATTGGTCAGCGGTGCACTGCGAACAGCTGCGCACGATGGCGAATATGACGGCACGAGAGATGGGGCCGGAGGTGAATGTGGCGACGGGACGCGTTTCAATGTGGGCGCAAGTGTGGTGACAACCGACAGTGAATGTACTTGCGCAGAGGTTGTTTACACACACACACACACACACACACACACACACACACACACACACACACACACACACACACACACACACACACACACACACACACACACACACACACACACACACATACGTATATACAGCTACAGCGCACAACAGCCTTCCACCCCAACTTCCACTTCCAACGTCCCCCGCCCCTTCGCATCCCCCATTCCTCTTGGAAGCGTCTGCCTCACAAGCTGCAGGCGGTGTCGGTTGGGTGGGCGTGGTATTCGTTCCCGGAGCACGCGCGGCACTCGCGATTCTGTGTACCGTCAGAGCCACCGCACGCCCGAGACTCAACCTGAGGCGGGCGCGTGTGGTGTGTGTGTGTGTGTGTGTGTGTGTGTGTGTGTGTGTGTGTGTGTGTGTGTATATTTGTGTGTTTGTGTGGTGTGTGTGGTGTGTGTGTGTGCATTTGTGTATGGTGTGCGTGCATATGTGTGTGTGTGTCAGTGGGAGTGTGTGTTTGTGATGAAGGGAAGGTGTATGGGCAAGGAGTATGGTGGGTCATTCAGACAAGAGAGACAAGAGAGACGAGGTCAGGTGGCCGCTGATGGAAGGGACAGCAATGTGCAGCTGCGTCCGGCCCAACCGAATCCAGCTGCGCGACAAGCGGTGCACAATCACGACAACCAACAAAGCGTAGTTCACTCGCACTAACATCTCCCTTCCTACACACGCACGTACAAACACACACGCACGTACACGTGTACATCTTACCTCGCCAAAGTCACACTGAATGCATGCCTCGCACTGAGTGTCCGTGGTGTCGGTGCAGTCGGCAGTCTTGTACTCCTCGCTCGTGCATGTGCGACACTCCGTGCACACTGTGTCGGACGTTGTCGTGCACGCCTCCTCCTCAAAGTCTTTGGTGTTTGGTTGGGAACGGGGGTGAGATGGCGGTGACAGGGAGCCCACAAAAACAGCAGCTGCTGTGACATAAACACGTTTGCATGATGCACGAGAATGGGTGTTTGCTTGGGGAAGAAAGGTAACAAGGAAACGTTAACGCAGGAGAAGCGGGAAACAGAGAGATGGAAACGGAAAAGGAGACACGCAGTCACGCCACACACACACACACACACACACACACACACACACACACACACACACACACACACACACACACGCACGCACACACACACACACACACACACACACACACACACACACACACACACACGCACACACACGCACACACACGCACACAGTCACGCCACGCATTCACACACAACAACAACAACAACGGCAACGCACGGTTGGGGAGGAAGGTGCAGTCTGCACAGACGGTGCATGCCGTGGTATCTGTGCTGCTGGACCAGAATCCCGGGTCGCAGTCCACACAGGACGTGCCAATCTCTCCAGAGGCGCCACAACCTTGCCCTGCACCAAGCACATGACAAGTAGAACGTGTGAACCAACCACGTGCGCATAAAGAGCTCACTCAGCCGTTTCAAGAAGCAGCAAACGTTCACACAACCACACACTCTCACACACACACACACACACACACACACACACACACACACACACCTCCCTCGCTCCATACCTGGTGGACATGCTGAGCTGCAGGTGGCAGCCACCGGCGACGGCAAACACACGGCTCCCATCAATACCGACACTACTACCATCACCACTGCGACACCCACCACACCACGACAACCACGACCACCACGATCAGCCATGCTGCCCTTCTTGTTCTCGTTCGCCAACGCCCACCTCCCACAACAACAACCACAACCACCACCCAGTTTCCTCATCCTCCGCTGGTCGTTTGTTGTTTGTAGAAATATAGCGAATACTTTCGTATAAATTTCTAGCCATTATTCGGGGCCTCGTTGTTGTGGGCGCAATTGTCACAATTGTCAGATACGCACCCCGACTTTCGCACCGCTGCCTTCGCACCGGCAACGCCATACGCCACACCTTCGGGACAAGGAGCAGCGGTGGGTGCCTGCTGCTTGGTGCGTGTTTTGGTGTTTAAGATGTGTTGTTCGCTTCGCTTGGGTCGCGATGCACCCCGTTTTGTTGGTGTTGCTCATGCACGCATGGGAAACGATTGCGTGTGCGCCCACGTCTCTCACGTCATCGCAATTTCGTTCCGCGTCTGTTCGTTCTTCTTCTGTGCCCTTCTGTCTTCTCATGTTTTGCTTGTGTTCTTGCCTTGCTTCTTGTGTGATTTTGATGGATGGGCAACACACAGCAGAGCAGAACAAAGAGGCAACTGCAACCAACCAACCAACCAACCAACCAACCAACCAAGCAGCAGCGTGCGTGTGCGTGGTGGGGATTGTCGTATCGTGCCATCTCTGCGTGCGTGATGTGTGATCAATGAGCTCATCATTCTCACCATCGTCCTCAAACACCCTCCTTTTGGTTTGGTTTCGTTGTGTTTGCTTGTTGGTGCGCAGGCAGGTAGACACGCTTTGTTCTCGCAGAGAGGTGCCACCCACCCACACACACACACACACACACACACACACACACACAAGCACAGACTCGCGCAGGCAGCAATCGTGTAAGCAACCTAAAGCACAGCCTGTATCGTGCTTTGCCTTCGACATGTGTGTCACATGGCTCACTACACACTACACGCACCCGTCCCATGTCGACATTGCACGAATCAGCAGCATCAACCCTAACCAATCACATCCACACCCCAGCATCAACCCTACCTCCCTACCACTCGAACGCACACACACACACACACACACACACACACACATACACACACACACCACAAACGTCATTGCATTGCACTGCTTGGGGAGGGCCGAGGCGATCACACTTTCGCGCCTGCATCCATCATCAGTCAACTCACTCACGCGCGCCTGCGTGCTCTCCCCACCCCACCTCCTTCTCCCACACAGCCAAGGCAACCTACATTGACAACACCAGCATCAAGCGAGAACAGGCCGGCAGACAGGCTGTGTGTGGTTTCGTTGAGGCAATATCACGGGCAAGCAAGCACACAGACAAGCAAGACGTGGGCGCGCGTGCGCGTAAGCTTTTGGGGTTGCACAGCAGACAGCTCCATCACATACAACCCCTCCCCCCTCTCCAGCATCGCACCACATTACACGGATCCCGGTTACTTCCCTTCCCCTCCCCCCGTGCAGTGGGGACAGGGCGCGTCATATTGAACCGCCTTCAAGCGCGTACCTGTGACAAACAACGCACCCCATTTGGGGACCATATCGACACGTCTGCCCCCTCCCCCCCCCTGCGTTCTTGCACCTCAACAGGGCACCACCAGTGTTCGCCCCGCACCCCACTCACCAAGGGTACAGAACATCTGTAACCAGCATCAACCCTACCTCCCTACCACTCGAACGCACACACACACACACACACACACACACACACATACACACACACACCACAAACGTCATTGCATTGCACTGCTTGGGGAGGGCCGAGGCGATCACACTTTCGCGCCTGCATCCATCATCAGTCAACTCACTCACGCGCGCCTGCGTGCTCTCCCCACCCCACCTCCTTCTCCCACACAGCCAAGGCAACCTACATTGACAACACCAGCATCAAGCGAGAACAGGCCGGCAGACAGGCTGTGTGTGGTTTCGTTGAGGCAATATCACGGGCAAGCAAGCACACAGACAAGCAAGACGTGGGCGCGCGTGCGCGTAAGCTTTTGGGGTTGCACAGCAGACAGCTCCATCACATACAACCCCTCCCCCCTCTCCAGCATCGCACCACATTACACGGATCCCGGTTACTTCCCTTCCCCTCCCCCCGTGCAGTGGGGACAGGGCGCGTCATATTGAACCGCCTTCAAGCGCGTACCTGTGACAAACAACGCACCCCATTTGGGGACCATATCGACACGTCTGCCCCCTCCCCCCCCCTGCGTTCTTGCACCTCAACAGGGCACCACCAGTGTTCGCCCCGCACCCCACCTCAGCCAACTGAAACACAGCAACACCAACGACGGCGACGCAGCAGGCGACAGACGAACAGCGAGCACTTGACACCGCGTGTACTCCACCCATCGTCTCCATCAGCCCCATCATCAGCAGTCTGCCCGCACGGCCATGATGCTGAACTTCCGCGGGTGGCTGGACGTCGCAGTCGAGCGGCTACCAGGAACAACGGCTGCAACAGACCCGCCACCGTCGTCTCAACCGACTGCATCGGCATCGTCATCCTCACGGCCACGACGCGCGCCAACAGTAACATCTGCTCCGTCGCCATCACTCACGTCGCCCCCGGCAGCAGCGGTCACAGCACGCGGTGGCTCGCGTGCGCGCAGGAATGCGTCGAGCGGCAGCAGCAGTAGCCACGGCGGCGGGAACAGGAGCAGCAGCAACAGCAGCAGTCGGGGTGGCAGCAAGCGTGCCGGTGGTGATGGAAAGAAGGGCAGTCAAGCAACACGGGACCAAGGCGTCGATGATGGCCGGGATGTGGCGATGTTCGACGACAGCGGACGCGGCGGCGTGCGACCACGGCCCAGAAGCAGCGGCAGCGGCAGCGGCGATGTCGGTGTCGGTGTTGGTGTGAGTGGCGGTGGTGTGAGCGTCGGTGGGAGCAAGGGCCCGTCTCGAAGCGCTTCGTCCCACGCGTCATCCGCAGCAACATCGGCAGCAGCGTCCACCGCCACATCTCCCCAGCGACAACAGCAGCAGCAGCAGCAGCAGCAGCAGCACACACGGCCCGGTGCCATGCGTCGCATCTTTGCAGCGGCGGCGAAGGGGCTGACGGGGTCACGACACACGAGCGACAACGACAGCACCCGCCGAACGCGCAGCCCGCTCTTTGAACGCAAGCGCAGGAAGGAGAGTAAGGAGGAAGAGGAGGTGGAGGTGGAGGGAGGGGAGGTGGAGGTGGAGGGAGGTGACATTGGGGAACGGGGACAAGTTGGTGGCGGTGATGGCGACCGTCGCGGTGGTAGTCAGCACGTGTCTGCCACCCCCTCACCCAAATCACCGTCCCAGCCGTCCCAGCCCCCGGCAGCGTCGTCATCATCATCGCCACTGTCGCCGCCGTCACGGAGCTCTCGCAAGGGGCGCGGCGGTGGCGGTGGCGGGATGGATGTGGTCATGGAGGTGGATGAGGAGGTGGAGGGCGATGATGGTGATGGTGATGGTGGTGATGGTGGTGGTGACGATGGTGGTGGTGACGGTGAGAAGCGACGAAAGCGGCCACCACCACTTGTACTGACCCGTGATGTGAAGGAAGCTGGCCACAGCAGAGACCGTGGCGATGATGACGATGATGACGATGATGACTGTGATGACGATGATGACTGTGATGACGATGTTGACGATGCTGATGATGATGACGACGACGATGATGATGACTGTGATGAGAGCGACAGTGAGAGCGATAGCGATAGTGGCAGTGACAGTGACTTGGTCACAGCCAGTGACGATGACGACGACGACGATGAGCAGGACATGATGGGCGGTGATGATGGCGACGACGGCAGCACGACTGGCGCTGTGGCGGCATCTCTGCTTGCATCCACAGCAAGTCAGCAACAGAAGCAGCAGCAGCTGGCCGTGCCCACCTCCCCCTTGTCTTGTGCGTCGTCACCGTCGCATCCCCCGCGGGTGCGCAGCGATCGCCGCCATAACCGCAGCCACCGCCACGGCAGCAAGCACCGCACGGCTCGCACTGGCACCAGCACACACCGCGCACGCGACAGCGACGGCGGTGGTGGTGGTCGTACCAGTGGCAGTCATGGCGATGGTGATGGCGATGATGGTGTGAAGACGCGTGGGTACACCATGTCCACGTCATCTGCGCCAGCGACGCTCTTGGCGGAGAGAACGTCCGCCGTGACCGGTGGCGCGTTCTTCCCGCCAATCGACGAGCTGGTCACCGCTTCCACCCCACCACCAGCCGTCGCCGCCCCAACAGGTGTTGCTGGCACGAGCAAGCAGGTCGGCAACAAGAGCGATGGCAGTAATGGTGGCGGTCATGGTGATGGTGGTGGAAAGACCACGGGTAAGGGTGCGTTGCAGCGGCCGGTGCTGTCGTCATCATCGCCATCGGCAGCAGCGAGTGTCTCGACGTCCAAAGTCACCGTTGCAACGCCGCACACGGGCGGCACACGCGTAATGACGGCGACAGGGCATGGGCAGTACAGTCCAACACCAGCATCCACAGCAACAACAACAACGGATACAGCAACACCAGCGCCATCGACCGCTGCTGCTTCCGTTGCGATTGCGTCATCCACGGCATCAGCCCCGCCCACCACGGCACCGGTAACGCGGCGCAAAGGCGACGCGCGAGGGGCGGTGGACACAACCACGCGGCCCGCAACCACAGCAGCACCGGAGCGATCAACGCTCTCATCATCAGCGGCAACAGCAACAGCAACAACAACAGCAACGTCTGCGCAACCACATGGTGTTGCGTCTGGCGTGCGCAGTGCGCTGTCGGATGCCGGTGGTGCGGTTGTGCCGGGGGCCGCCCGTCGCATTGCGAGCAAGCGGCGATCACAGAGCCTTGGCGACAGCGCCGCCGTGGCTGCTGCTGGCGGTGTTGGTGTTGGTGCTGATAAGGGCAGGGGCGGCGGTGGCGTGACGGGCGGCCGCAAACATGGCCACGGAGGCATTGTGAGCGGTCTGATGAGCGGTTTGGGTGGTGGCAAGGACAGTACCCGCGGCAGCGGCAGCGGTGGTGGTCGTGGTGATGGTGGTGGTGGCGCCAAGGGCAGTAGCAGTGGCAGTGCAAGCGGTGAAAGCGGGCGGAAGAAGGGAAGGCGACGCAAGGAGAGCGTGTCGCACCCGTCGACGCTCAGCTTTGAACGCCGCTACCTCATATTGGCAGGCAACACGCTCCACCTCCTCAAGCACAAGCCGGTCAGAATGTGTGGAATGGAAAGGCGGGGGGAGGGGGGGGCGGGGTTGTTTGTATGTTGTTTGTGTGTGTGTGTGTGTGTGTGCTGTGTGTGTGCGAGTGTGCGTGTGCGAGTGTGCACATGTGTGTGTGTGTGTGGTGTGTGTATGTATGCGTGCGTTGTGTACCGACTGATCGTCACGGTCTCACATCAACGGCACTTTGACATGTTGCCGCGTCTTGTGTTGTTTCAGACGGCCGAGGAGGAAGCGAAGCTCATGCAAGGTAACGCTTCAGGGTGCTGGGGTGATTGTGGAGAGAAGAAGAGTGCGTGTGTGCGTACGTGCGTGTGTGCATTCATTTGTGATTGTGCGTGTATTTGTTCGCTCCAACAGCAACTTGGATGCTCACTCACCACACAACGTCGTCACCCCTGCCACCATCACCAGATCCCGACCGGTTCTGGGAGATTTATGACGACGCGCCCGTCGCTGCAGAGGGGGCAGATGCACAGGGTGCGTTGACATGCGGTGCCTCAGGCGTCATGGGTGAAATGGGGTGTGGGGGTGGGGACAAATATATCTTCGTGCGCTGTTGTAGCGCTGTGATGCACTTGGAGTTGGTTGCTTGCACTCCAACAAACATATCAACCATTGCTCTCCCAATCACCACCACCACCACCACCACCACCGCGACCGCCCACAGGCCCGCCGTCTGCGCGTACGCCCTCGGCGTCACGACGGAACGAGACCAGCGGTGGGATCCCGGCCATGATTGCGCGGCTCGTACGAGGCGGCGCACGCAGCGACACAGATCGGCCGAGCAAGACGCAGGAGCCCGTCCCACCGTGAGTGGCACTGTGACACGTGTGCGCATGCGTGTTGTGTGTGTGTGTGTGTGTGTGTGTGTGTGTGTGTGTGTGCGCGCGTGTGTGTGTCTGTTGTGTTTGTGTGTTGTTTTGGTGTGTGCACATCGTGCTGTCTGTTGAAGGGCACTACGAACAAGACTGCTGTCTCGATAACAACCTCAACGCACGCGGCCCCACCTTACGCGATCATCACCATCACCATCACCATCACCATCACCACCACCGCTTGCCTCTCTTGTGACCAGGCAAATTTCGCTTGACCAGTGCGAGGTGCGGCCGCTGCACCCGTCTGTGTTCATGCACCACCCGCTCTACCGCCAAGTGTGCTCCCTCATGTTCGGCAACAGGAGGTGCGTACAACAATTCATCATCGTGGTGGTGATGACTGGAATGCCATGGTGACGCGGAGGTGCTCGAATGGTGGACATGTATTGCATGTCTGTGTGTGTATGTGCGTGTGTGCACGTGTGTGCATGTGCGTGTGTGCACATGCGTGTGCACTGCGAGACACACCCCAACACACGTACACGCAGCCTCAACTCACCTCCGTTTCTCACCTCCCCTACTCACCAACCACACTTTACCGAACAAACCCCTTCGCCAACCAAGGCTGCTGCTGCGGTGCAACTTGCTGTCTGCGCGACTGCAGTGGCAGCGGGCGTTGCTGGCCTCGATTGACGGCCGCAATGCCCGCTACTCCACGCGTCGCATCGTGCTCGGGCTGCAGAGGGCCGCACTCCCGGGCAGCAAGGGCGACATGCGTTGCATTGTCATGCTCAACGGGTTTGTTGAGGGAATATCAACGACGAAGCCGGCCGCCTCGCAGGTACCGTGTGTGTATGTATGTATGTGTGTGTTCGTGTGTTGGCGGCAGGGGGCGGGGGTGGTTCGTGTGTGTTCAAGACCACACACACACACACACACACGCACACACACACACACACACTCACACTCACACACACACACACACACTCACACACTCTCTCTCACGTCCACACACACTCACACTCATTCACGCACACACATGCACACACACACACACACACACACACACACATACACTCGCGTACTTGACCGCCTGCGCCTGCGAGCAGAAGAAAGGGTCGAGCCAGGTGACGTTTGCTGAGCGGTTTGAGTTTGACGTGCGGGCAACGGCGGCCGATCTCTCGTGCGGATATGTCAAGGTGACGTGGTCTTTGGTGGCACACGCGGCCGGGGATGGCGTGTGTGGCGGTGTTTGCGTGCGCGCGCGCGCGTGTGTGTGTGCATGTGTTTGCGCGTGATGGTGTGTGATGGCGTGTGTAAGTTTGACTGCGTTCGACCTGCAAGATCGTCTTCGTCGTCGAGCTGATGCATTCACCAACCACTCTCCGCCCCTTGAGATCGCGTCTTCTCACTCCTCGCGGTGCCGCTCTTCGTGCATGCTATGGTTGTGCGACAGATTCTGCTGCAAAAGAACCACCGCCGCTGGACCACGTTTGCATCAGGTGCGCATTGTGCTCTCTCAAGTTTGGCGAGGGGAGGGATGGATGGTGTGTGTGTGTGTGTGTGCGTGCGTGTGTGCGTGTGTGTGTGCATTGTTATTGGAGAAGTGCGCATCCTGGCGTCGTGTAGCCAGCTGGGCATCCAACACATACACACACACACACACATACTCTCTCTCTCTCTCTGTTTCTCTCACCACATCACATCACCCTGTTTCTCTCACCACATCACATCACCGGCTCGCACCCTTATCCCCCTCCCTCTTCGTGCTTGTGTGCAGCGGCCATCCATCTCGAGCCGGAAGAGTTTGAACGGACGACGCTGGAACTGCCGCTCGCATACGACAAGGACGCACGCACCGGCACACTCACTGTCGAGTTGTGGTGCCACTTCTGAGTTCTTGTGCGTGTGTGTGTTTGTATGTATTTGCGTGTGTTTGTATGTGTTTGCGTGTGTTCCTGTGCCATGCACCATATCTCAACGGCGACACACCTCACCAGCGGCACTGACCACCGATGTACCTCCCCATCTCCTCCCCCAACATATGTGCACATGCCACCACCACCACCACACCAACAGGTTCCGGCACCGGCACCTGCCCGTGCTGAAGGCTGAGGAGTACGAGCCGCTGCTTGACTGGTTCCAGGAGAGCGGCGCCCTCGTCCTGATGCAACTCATTGACGTGTGTCTGGAGAAGGGCCAGGAGGAGGCTGAGCGGAAGCGGGCGGAGGAGGAGGAGGCAAAGTTGCGCCG